TTGTACCATGCAAAGAAACGGACGGAGCGGAGCAACTGGCTGATACAATGATGAGAGAAGTGTGCAGGTTACACGGTACTCCGAAAACTATTGTCTCTGATAGAGGTAGTGTTTTTGTCTCAAAAATCACCTCTCAGCTCAACAAAAGATTAGGTGTCAAGTTACTTCCATCCACGGCTTATCACCCACGCACCGATGGACAGTCTGAAATTGCAAACAAGGTGGTCGAGCAGTATTTACGACACTTTGTATCCTATCACCAAGACGATTGGGTGGACTTATTGCCTCCAGCGGAGTTTGCTTACAATAACAGCACGCACACTTCTACAGGTATCTCACCGTTCAAGGCGAACTACGGCTACGACTTGAGCCTGGGTCCAATACCTTCTGAGGAACAATGCGTGCCGGCGGTCGAGGAGCGACTAAAGAGGTTGGCTGAAGTGCAAATCAAACTCCAATCATGCATAGAAGGCGCCCAGGAGTCCATGAAACACCAATTCGACAAGGGAGTATGTGCAACCCCTACGTGGAAGGTAGGAGAGAAAGTGTGGCTGAGCAGTCGAAATATCTCAACTACAAGGCCTAGTCCTAAGTTGGATCACCGGTGGTTGGGACCATTTAGTATTGTCAAACAGATTTCTCTTTCTGCTTATAAATTAAAATTACCGCTGACAATGAAAGGAGTCCACCCTGTTTTTCACGTATCAGTCTTGAGGAAATTCGAACCAGATGGCATCAAATCAAGAAGAGTCACACCACCACCGCCAATTCAAATTCAAGGAGAGCAAGAATGGGAGATAGATTCAATTTTGGACTGTAGAAAGAGGTATAACAAATTAGAGTATTTAATTAGCTGGAAGGGGTATGGAAAAGAAGATGACTCGTGGGAACCGGAGGCAAATTTGAAAAACGCTCAAGAATTGATAAGGTTATTTCATCAAAGGTTTCCATCAGCAGCTAATAACTACAAGAGGTCACGGAGAAAGTGAGAGTGGGTCAAGCTTTTTCCCACTGAGTACTTTAACGCTGACCCGGGGGAAGAAGGCAGGACAGCAAGAGGAGTCTGGGCCTTAAAGGGGGAATACTGTAATGAGCGTACGCGTGATCCTTATACCGCGTTATGCTACTACTGAGTAGAG